TATTCGACACACACTCCGACATGCTGACCGACATTTTCACACAGATTTCCAAACTAGCTCCCGAAGACTTGCGTGTTTCACAACCTATTCCGATTCCCATCAACACCTTCTTTGCCGACCTCGAGGATGTTTTCAGACTCTTATTTCTCATTATCCAATGGCTTTACGAATGGATCAGCAGAGGTCATCAACCGGCCAAAATGATGCGACAGTACGCCAACCTCATTGACCTTATTTTCCGTTTTTCTACCATTGCGCTGCAGTATTTACCCAAGTATATGCCCATACATGTTTCAAATGCTCTTTTGCTTATCCGAGCCAAGCTTGCTTGGCTTATATTGTTTCACTGGGCCCCTAACTCCGCTGCCATTGCCCAGTGGAGACGTCGATTAACATGCTTTGACTACTCATGGCAATCCCTTTCTTGGAGCTTGATGGACTCCCCCTATGCTGTATATCTGATGTTGGCAATGGATACACGACAACCTCACAGATTTGCCAAGAAGGCCCGGCTCTTCTACATCGGCAGTACCCGGAAGACTGTCTTTGGTCGGTTTCACTCTCGTTTACGCAAACTCCATCAGTTACAGCAGCATAAGCTTGTCAAAGCCGAGCTGGCTTTGCACTATTGGGTCCGCACGTCCTCATTTTTTGATTTCGTTTTGTTGCCAGTGGTGATTGCCGATGCAGAACAAGAGGTACGCCTGTTGGAACTTAATCTCATCAGCCGATGGCAGCCACCCCTGAATTACCCTTTTTGCAATCGTATTCAACTCCGGGCTTCAGGGATCAAACATCAACGACTACCGACTCGACATCACCAGTCTATAGCCAGTTCCCGATTGCACAAGAAGATTCGCCGACGACTTTCTGCTGTTCATTGCCCTTTCTCCCTCCTTACTTCCTTCAGTGACTCCGTTCAGTCTTTGTGGCAGACCCTTTTGATGCTCGCAGGTGACAACTTGACAAGTTTTCGAGCCCAGGCTTTTCTTCGCCGACACAGTGTTCATCAACTTCACTTGCATGCCCTACTCCGTTTGAGTAACAACCTCGAACAACCCTGGCGCAGCAGAGTCAAGTCGCACATTGCCAAGATCTTTCGGGTCAAGAATCTTGCTTTGCCGGGTACTAACAGCCCTTTTCGCACTTGCCCCCTGTCGCATCCTGAATTTCAATACAATGTACGCCAATTTTTGCTGCAAATAATTCGCAAGAGTGAACACCGACTCCTCCCACTTCATGTTCCTTCCCGGTCCATATTGTTTCGGGCTCACGTCTCGTTACACGAACGACTGTTCAATTTCCAGGAGACCATGCGTGAATTCTCCTTGAACCCAGGGAGAGTCCCTTCGTGCCCCTGCAAATCATTCTTGCCTAGACACCCCCATTTGGAAATGCATAATGGGCACATTGCTTCCCCAGCCGAGTTCTTGTCGATATCTCCGCAGCTTAAAGCCATACTTCAGTACAGCGCAGCCTCGCAAATTTTACCCTCCAAGCGCACATATTCAGAAGAATTCCGCAAAGATGTCGCCCGCTGGGCTGACAAGCACTGTTTAAACATGGATGATGCTGCCACCCACGACTTCTTGGAAGGTCAGTGGCCACTGCACTTGAACACCGTACATGAGGACTGCATCACTTGGCAGGCTGTTTCATCTTTGCGACAACAGCTACAGGGCTTGACTATTCATTGTCAGGATCATCAACCTTTTCGTACTATGCTGTATTGCCCGTTACTATATTACAATGCAGTGAAGGCCACTTTCACTGAGACCACGATTTTTGAACGCGTGTCTATCCCGCCAAGCAAAGCTCAGGATCTTCTGCACACCCTCATTCCCGATTCTTTGCTTCAGCGATACCCTTGGGCCTTTCGATTGGATTTGGACCTACCACGAGGATATACCTTGCTCAAGCACAAGAAATCTTTTGCTATTGGCCGTTCTATTGTTGCTTACAGGAACACTCCCCTTGCCGCTGCCCTTAAAGCCTGTGCTTTCGTCGTTCAAGCTGTTTCACGTATTGCTTTTCCTGCATCATTGGACCCCGGCCAAAATGTGGACATTTGGAGCAGCATCCGTCATTTCTTTGAGTCCATCTCGGATGACGCCCGCATCGTTCTACGCAATGATGACATCATCGGATTCTTCAATTCTCTTCCACAAAGCCGAGTGTTAGCATCCTGGCGCGAAGCCAAGCAACGCTATTTGAGACAACACGCCGGACCCCCTGACCTCACGTTTTCAATTGACTTGTCCACAACTCACTCGCAGTTTCGCATGTATAGGGGCAAAGGCCTCCTTCGAACAATTCGCCTTGATGATATCGACCTTTTCATTTCCACTGCTTTTACAGCTAGCATTTTCCTCACCCTGGGACAGGTTTATCGGCAGACTAGAGGAGCCACAATTGGCAATCAGCTTTCTCCTGCATTGTGTGCCCTAGCGATTGCCCATCGGGAGCAGATTTGGACTGATTCTTTTCAGCAGTTTTTGCATAGCCAACGACACCTTTTCTGTTTTACCCGATACGTCGACAACAGAATGCTATTGATTCACGCCGACGTTGCCAACTCGCCCCCTTTCCAATTTCTATTCCGGGACACTTTTTACATACCTCCTGTTTTGATCGAGCCCGTGAACGATGATCACTATTTGGGTTTCCGCATACTCCATCGTCTTCGACAGGTCAGATTCATCATGCCGCATGCCAAATGGCAGGTTCGTCACCCATATAGCACGGCTACACGAGCCAACAGATTTTCCGGTTATCTATCTCGTGTTGCGCTGATTCGCAAGTATACTTTCCCTCGGTCCTTCATTACCACGGACATTGCTGTGTTGCAGGATTTTTACCAATCCCATGGTTTCACCCTTCGCGAGTTACAGGCTGCGACCTCTCGTCGGTCTACTTTTTAGGTCAACCCTGCGACGCTGGTCAAAATAGATTTCTCACTTACTGCACGTCGCTCATTGTTCATTGTTCTGTGACTTCTTGATTCTTCGGCCATTTAGGCTCATGTTTTGAGTAATCCACTTCCCCCGCCGTCCGCCCCCCCCCTCCCCCCCCCTGACCGCCAAGTTAATACATCTGAGACGGGTTTGCTGCAACTCTGCCAGCAGCTCAGCCTAATTCGAGACGCCGCCTCCGCAAACATTGCCGTGCTGGACCAAATGTTTTAACAACCCGTTCTCGAGATGAACCCTCGCTGAAATTCGATCAGCCCTCGCCCAAATTCGAAGAGCCCGATCTGCCCACTGTGGCATCCGCAGTACAAACCACCTGCAGAACCAGGTTTGTCAAAATCCGTGGAATTCATGCACGCCAGCAGTGAACGGGTTTGCGGCGGTTGCCCCAGACCAGGTGGCTTTCAGCTACGTTTGTCGTGAACGGCGTTACTGACCCATCGGTTCACAGCGGACATCAGTGGACGCATTCGCCTGACGCACAGAGGTTTGCGGCGGTTGCCCCAGACCAAGAAGCTTTCAGCTACGTTCGTGTATGTACCCCGATTTGTCAAATCCGTGCAATTCGTGCATGCCGGCAGGGGGCAGCCGGAAGAGTATGTGGGCGGCTGCCAACGAAGACCCCACATACTTTTCGTGAAACGTACCTGCCTGAGAGCTGCTCCTGGGTCCCGTCGCGGGCAGCTGGAGGGCTCACCCCTAACAATCGCCCTTAAGGCCACTGACTTTGCACGGTTCAGTGCTAACTTGCAACATTTCATCTCATGTTTACGTGTTTGAACGTTTGGTGTTTGACTGCCGACGTGGCATTCCCAGTGTGTGTGTGTGTGTGTGTGTGTGTGTGTGTGTGTGTGTGTGTGTGTGTGTGTGTGTGTGTGTGTGTGTGTGTGTGTGTGTGTGTGTGTGTGTGTGTGTGTGTGTGTGTGTGTGTGTGTGTGTGTGTGTGTGTGTGTGTGTGTGTGTGTGTGTGTGTGTGTGTGTGTGTGTGTGTGTGTGTGTGTGTGTGTGTGTGTGTGTGTGTGTGTGTGTGTGTGTGTGTGTGTGTGTGTGTGTGTGTGTGTGTGTGTGTGTGTGTGTGTGTGTGTGTGTGTGTGTGTGTGTGTGTGTGTGTGTGTGTGTGTGTGTGTGTGTGTGTGTGTGTGTGTGTGTGTGTGTGTGTGTGTGTGTGTGTGTGTGTGTGTGTGTGTGTGTGTGTGTGTGTGTGTGTGTGTGTGTGTGTGTGTGTGTGTGTTTTTTTGGAATGGTGACGAGCAACTCAAGTCATGATCATAGGGCCACCATGTTGGGTAGACTGGGCGTATGCCCGGACTGGCCAAGGTTTAGGGCGTAAGGTTGAGGGCTGGTCCGCAAAGCGAACGCCCTCAAATCTGTCCGTTCGTCGCCAAAGGGAACACCCTGGCAGAAATGCGAATATCCATGATTCTCTGCACCCCGCAAGTACTGGGGCGCAAAGCATTGCGCAGACTTACGAGCTCGGCAAAGCATTGCTTGCTGCTTGCCATCTCAGGGGAATCTAGAATGTGTGGCAACCATCAATGGGCTGCAAGGTGGTTCTTTTCACATCACTCCAATTGATGCTGCGGTGTGTGTTGTGTTGTGGTGTGTTGTGTTCTGTTCTGTTCTGTTCTGTTCTGTTCTGTTGTGTTGCGTTGTGTTGTGTTGTGAGTCCGGGCAAAACTCCCCCGTCTTCCCAACAAGTAGTTGGTTGGCCCGGACAGTACCTGAAGCTTTTGGGAAAGGGCGGGCGGTGCGGGTGTCCAGAAGCATGTGATCAGTTTGCCATCGCCACAGGTGCGTTGATGCGGCATTGGTTGATGAGCCAATGGTGCGATTTATGTAGTGTGCAATCAAGAGACTGTATCTATGGGTGTGTGAGTGTGAGCGTGCTTTTTCAAGGGTACTCTTTTTGGGGGGGTTGGTTTAAACGAGGACAACAAGGAACAAAACAGCTTTATAATGGGAGGTCCCCATATTTTGACACATAGCCAGGTTGCAACATGGGGTGTTGGTCCGTGATCGCAGAGATATAAGGCGAGCTGTTTATTAGCCTGGACATTGACGGCGACGGGGTTATCTCTTCAGCAGACCTGCCGCTTGCCAATTGAAGGGGCCCAGGCAGATGAGTCATGAGGAATGGGTTGGGGGTAAAGTGTAGGGCATGCATCAACTTCCGGCTTGTGCCTGCATGCGCAAGCTGAAACGCCACTCAGGCACTTCTAATCCAGTGGAAAGCGCTGCAGATATGACGAGAAACATCGCAGGTTCGCTGTGTCGATTTGACTTGTTACACAATGTCTGCACTCTGGACATCATTGGACCGAGAGTCACATTGGAAGCCCGTTTTAGTGGCGATGTGCAACCCTGGGGATGCAGCACGCCTAGCTTGTGATGTTCTCTTGCCGGCCAGGGTTGTAGCCCGGCTTTCCCCTTCACGCAGAGGGTCGAATGCCTGCAACTGCCACACTTTTCCACAAAGGAACCACACAGCATGCCGAAATTCGAGACTGGCACGGTGCAAACTGCGGATCCCTGCCGGTCCCATGCTCGCCACCGGGCAAGTAATCCACAGGAATCAGGGAGGTTTTGGCAGTTCTTCGTGCGGACAGAGCGAAGCATTGCCCCCAATTCCAGTAAAATGTGTTATGGGACACCTGGGCCTTGGATGTACGTTTTGTTTGGGGGCGCATGAGCTAGGAGGCGACATATGCAGATCTTGCGTACCGAGGGGGGGTGTGATCGGACATGATTTCAGCAAACCTTGACAGAGCTTCCGCGCATGTTCGATTGGCCTGTCAAAGAGGAATGGTGAGTAGTTGTGTACCAAGGGTGTCACATAGCTCATGTTCCTAATTGTCTGATTTGTCTCAAACGAAAACCAAATGGGGTGACTCAGGCGCCGGATTTAACGGCCTGACGAACACTTTTCGGCGATGTGTTTGTTTAGTCTCCAAGCGCTTGGATGTTCAAGCAACTTCGGATATATGGTTGACCCCGTATTAGTCAACCCCAGTTTACTCTTCAGAGGGGGGTGGGTTTAGTGGGGAATCAGAGCACTTTGGGAGGGGCCAAAACCAGCCTATGACGAAACTGGCTGATGAATGTGCCAACATGATGGATATGGTTCTAACTTGGGTAACTCGTTTCCTGGTTATAACTTGGGTAGCTGGCTATACCCAACCAACTCGTTTGAGCCCAACATGGTTGTCACTTGGGCAACGGGCGGTTGGTTAGGCTCCTTAAAAGAGCTCCATTTTGCAACGATTTGAAACATGTGGCTTTTTCCAGCAACATAAGGGGAAACCACCTTTGACAAGTTGCAATGTTCAGGTGTATTTCATGTAAGGATCCCTGAGAAGCCCAAACGACCTCGGCTTAGGAAGCGGGCCGGCAGCCTGGCCATTGGCATGGACGACAACCCCGTGGGCTCCCAACAGGCCGATCCCGGGATCGGTCGCCCAGCTCGGAGGGTCACCCTCCCCGCGGAGGGTCGCTCCCTGGGTTCCGCGTTCCGCTTCGGACGTGAGGCACTTGAGGACTTGGAGGATTTTAGTCGTAAACAAATGCAAATAACAAGAAGTTGGGCGTGTTTCCGGACTTGAGTCACCTTGTTGAGGACTTTGCTAGCGGTAAATGTGATGACATCCTGGTGCCAGAGATTTGCAGGGAATGAGAATTAAAAGGCGCATGACCCCGGGAAATAAACCATCCCCTTGGTGGATTCCTTTGAGGGGACCAAAGCCTGCCGTCCAACTCATTCCCCACCAATCGCATCAGTAAGAATCCCAAGAATCCCAAGAAGTTGGGTTGCGGGAACCTCTTAGGATGGTCCTTCCTACAATAGATATTTGCTCTCAAAATCGCATGGGTTCCAGGTTGGATGGGAGCCATAAAAACTGCCAGGTTGGTTTGGTGGGTGCTTGTCTTTGAGTTTCCCTTCAACCAACTCCCCAAAAGGGTTCCGGCCTCAGCCCCCTCAGCCACTCGGACAAGACCAAAGGTTCCCGTGAATGAAGCTGCCAGTCGCAGCACTCCAAAAGCCCAGGCATGTCATAGTTGGCGATTATATGTATATATATATATAGATATATATGTGTGAGGTTCATCCTCCCAAAAGGCTGGTGGACATGCACCGCCACCAAAATTGCCAAAATGATGTCCAGAGGTGGTTCCCAAGTAAGATTTGAAGGACTAGGCACGGCGTGACATCCTGGTGTCTGTCTCTTGTGGATATCAACAAAAGCATAATACTTCCTGTGGTTTACTGTCGCAAGTGCACGGCCGGGGGGGGGGACCTGAAGCATGTCGACACTGAGCGAAAACAAACAAAAAACGGGGACCGCACCTTACTCATTTGCCAGATGTTCTTGCGGAGTGAAGAGGGAACCGGGGGATAGCAGTGCTTCCGGGCCATGCTGGTCCTCCCAGCAGATCCGTGCTTTTTATTTGAGGGAAAGCATAGACATAGGCCCAGGTTCTTGAGGACAGGGCAATGAATCATACCTCAACATTGAAGCCAACGCTTCCCCTGACAAGGAAAGGAATCAAGCACTGCCAGACTCACCTAACTTTAGCATCTTGTTTGGGGCTCCGCATGTGTTTCACGAGGACTCATGATAAATTCGATCGAGCTCAGAGTAGGTAAGACAGGCTTATGCAAGTCCTTTCACTTGGGTTTATTGTTTCCAATTTGTGGGTCATAGCACTTTGCCTAGTTGTTTTTTTTGTGCAGCTTTTGGGCAAAGGCCTGCATAGGTCAACGATGCCAGCAGGAAGGCCAAATCGCTTTTGTTCAGTTCCTCGACCAACCAAGCTTGCATGTGCAGGACACTTCCCCTATTTGTTCTTGCAGGCAGTTGCAAGGCATACGCTTCGCAATTCCGAATGTTTGTAGAACATCAAGGAACTTTATGACTTTCTCTAGTTGCAAAAAAAACAACAACAACACCACCAACCGAAACACAAACAACACCTTTTTGAATAGTGTTTGTTGTTCCTCCAGGGGGAAAAAACAACTTTTTGCCGGGTGGCTCCAGGTACGAGCGGTGTGCCGAGTGGCAGACAAGTATGACTCCTTCAGCTCCAAGCCGTGGCTTGGTCGGAGGGGCTGATCTGTTTTTTGGTGACGCACGCAGGTAGCGTGCGGGTGGCGAAATAGGTGCGGGTCAAAATTAAGCCACCCGGATCTGGACCGCAGGTTTTAGTCTTTGGTTCCATTTACCAGGGTTCCATTTTGGGTACCTATTTTTGACCCACAGCCAAATTGAAGCCATCGACACTTAAGTGGTTTAGTGTACCACTGCTGCTACTGCAACTACTGCTACCCTGCTACCCTTAGCGCTTTTGCTGCGATGAAAGAGTAGTGCGGCTTCGAGAGTGCAGGAATGACGCTTGGACATGCGGATCTTACCGACACCCTCAGGAAGCATATGGTCCACAAAAAAGATGGCCGCTGCCCGATGTCCTTCTATGCAAGGAATAGATGCTTGCACGTGCTCAACTGCCGGCAAATCCCGAGGACCAACCCAAAAAGGGTGGACGTGTTCTGACTTTTGCCAAGGCCAAAGTGGCAGTTCGCAGCCGATGTTTGAGGTGTTTCGACCATGGCCCACCGCTCGCTGAGGTTCAGTTTCACCGAGTTTGTCGCGGCAGCCATTGATGCTCGGCCGAACTGGACGGTGTACGCCACACGTTGGGCTCACTGGGGAGTTGTGGTCCTAGTGCGCCTGCGTGCGTTGAGCTGGAGGCACCCCACCCTCGTGTTGTTTGTCGCTGTAGGCAGTTAGCTTTGCGCAACGCGTGACGAAACAAGGGTTGCAAGAGCCAAGCGAGATGCTTGCCACTGCTTTGTTGCCGAATCCGATGCGCGGACTTGGCGACTTTGCAATGACCATGAAAAACTCATGTCATGAACCTGTTTGTTTTCTCTTTGTGCTCTTAGTAATTGTGCGCAGTCAGTGCAAGCATTGACGCGTGCATTGACGATTCCTACATTGGGCCCTCTATGGGAAGAAAGAAACCTCCGCTTCTTTCCAAAAAGCAGTTGTCAGGGGGTGCTCGTGAGTGAGTGCCTTTTCTGTTACTGGGACTCAGACCTGAGCTTGGGCCAGCTGCAACTCGCAAGCGTTTGATGCCTGTTGAATTCCATATTTTTGTTGTACAGAGGCAAGGAACATACAAAAACCTTACCAGGACGCTTGCTGCCGGTGTAGCTGCACCATTTAGAGACTCCACCAGTGCAGGCATCCTTGGGTTTGGCCGGCACTGAAGGTCGCGGAGCCTCCCAGTTGGGAATGTGTCAAGAAGCTGCGAGCCCTTCAACTGATTGGTAGAGATTATGCGTTCAACACGGGTCCAGAGACTGTTTCAGACAGGCGCAGCCCTTTCATGTTCAAAGCACCTGGTTGCTTGCGGCTCATGGTGGAGTGGTGGAGTAGGATTTAGACGGTTAGGTCTATGGCCTGTAATCACCCAAGGAGTGTGGACCGTAGCCAGTTCCCCTCATGTTGTTCAGAACCGAAATGACTCACCAGATGCAATCGACTCAGTGTTTGACGCTGTATCGGTTTTTCAGATGTGGGGAGTACTTCTTTTTGCAGTATATAGGTAATATCAACGGACATCCACAAAAACGACAGTTGACCAGCCAGGCTGTCTTATGTCCGCGAATAGCTTTCATGGAAGTTGTAGCTGAGTCACAATCTCCTACAGATCAACAAAAACCCGCATCCGTTGGGCTTTACAGAGGTGGATCCATACAAACCGTCTCTCTTCCACCCGTTTTCTCAAGACAAATTGTTAGGCTGCTTTGGGCGGAGCTCAGGAAACCGCATCACCGTTCCCCCAAACAACAAAGAAACACGTTAATAGACAAGAAAAAACAAAATGACGTAGTTTGCCCGCTCTCTTGAATTGGCGCGGCTGAAAAAATCGAGGATCCGGAGGCGTACCTCAACACGAAGGTCCTTCGCGCCACCTTCAACTGCTTCGACCGCGACGGTGACGGCTCCATCTCCTTGCGCCTCGCTCGCTGAGACGCAAGAGACGCGTTGGGCGAAGCATAATTTTCGGGTGGTGCGCAGGCGGGTGGTCTTTGTTGCATTTTGCCACGGGATGTCAGGACTCTAACTTTTGCCAACTGATGGGTTTCCGTATTAATCCACGAAAAGTTGAACTTTTAGGAGGGGAGCAGAAAGCAACCGGGTTGAGAAACGGAATGACGAGATACACCATCCAACTGGAGGTTTCCTTTAAGGGGACCCCCAGGTTCATTCCCTCATTCCGTGCTGAGCAACAGCAACTTTGATTTTTAGGCTTGACCAGTATGAAACAAATTCTATGGAAGTCCTCTTGCCCTTTCCAAGAGGAAGGTTGGCAACTCATCGGTTTTCGGCGGCTTCGGGGAGGGGATTGGACTGGTTCTTGCAAAGCGCGAATGAGAAACCGCACCACCTGTGTGTACCAAAAAATCGCAGCAAGACGTGGCTCAAGGGCAAGCCCCCATGCGGGTCGCTTTTTTCAGGAACGGGGATTGAACTCTGCTTTCATGTTTTGCGGCCCAACAAAACCGTGTGCTAGCCCATGCTGCTTGTAGACCCGGAAGTTGGGGGTCCCCCAATGTTTGGGCAAGGGTTTCTCCAAGTTGAGAGCTCCCATGTCGAGTTGAGGCCAAATGTTTGGGGGTTCCCAATGTTGGGCGTGATGTTTGCAAGAATCGGGGTTGCCCAAATGTCCGGGTTCCCCGCCCCCCAAAGCTCTGCCAGGTTAGGTTTGCTGTTTATGATTTCCAGTAGAGAAAGTCCCAAAAGATCGTAAAAGTCTCAGGAAAACCGACAACTCGATCCAATTGTTTTTTCCTTTCGGAACCTGTGAAGTCTGAGATCCGAAAGAAGCATGGACCTTTCGCCCAAAAGAAAGTTTGCTTCAGGTCCTTCCTCCAAAACGGAAAAAAAACAAATCTTCCGCGCCGGCACGGGCGCCCACTGGACCGCACCTTCCTTCAAAAAGGAGAACAAGAAGTCCGCAGATCGCAGGTCTGAGCTGTCCAATGGCCGGCTGCTGGGGGCCCTGTCTTTGGAAGAGCTCCACGAGTGCCTGGAGTTCAACGAGGGTGGGGGTTGGGAGGGAGGGGTGGGAGGGGGCGGGGGGCTTGGCAACCCCAAAATGCGAGTGGAGTCCCAAAGGCGGCAACCATTGGAAACCAAAAGGGGAGTGTTTGTTTGCATCTTGAGGATCTGAATAAAGCACCCAGCTTTTGGCCGGGCTATCCGAACACCAAACCTGGTGTGCGCCAACGTTTGACCACGCGGTTTGGTTTTTTAACGCGCAGGCCATGGAGCCCTCAAAAGGGAAACGCTGAAACGAGGATAGTGAACCAACGATGGTGTCCCTGCAACGAGCCGGGAACAAAAAAGAAGCCCATGCAAAAAAGCTATGCCCCTCTTAGCCAGTAGCCATGTGTTTGCCATCGCCGACTGCTAGCTGCTAGGCGGAAAACAGCGAATTATGCTCAATGCTTGCCATAGCAACTTTGCAAAAAGCTGAAAGCAATTGGGCCTCCCAAGAAAGGTGCCTGTCCAACGAATATGAATCTGAACCACACATTTCGGACAACGCTCATTTGCTTAAAGGGAGCAACACTATGCCCGGAAGGTTCCCTCTGGGATACCTTGACTCGGAACCACAAACTGAACCATGTCTCCTTCCCTTTGTAAGGCTTTATTCCCAAAATTATGAGAACCAGCAGGTTCGCCAGGGTCATGTTTGTCGACTCTTTCTGGGAGGGGGGGTTACGCCTCACTTGAACCGTTGAACCTGGAACTGGGAGGTGACTTTGCTGAGATCAGATGGCCAGATTTGGAGAGAGAGGATCCTTGTTTGGAGGAACCCCTATCAATCTGTGGTTTGCTTAATCCGGCGACCCAGAAATAGGGGCCCCTCGTTTAGGAACAGAGGAAACTCAACAGGGCTGTTCCTCTTTGGCCACCCAAGCTTCCAACTTGAGGGGGCGCAGCGAGGAAGTGTCGAAGTCGCGCCGTGTGCAACACAACAACAGCTTCGGACGTCTTTCGGAAGTCGTGCGTACCGCAAGCAGTGTGAAAGCAGTGCGCTGTGCAAGGAATTCACTGTGGCGCAAGGCTGTTTAAACAGATTTGCTGCACACAAGTATTGCGATGCAAGCACTGTGCAAAAAGAGCAAGGGAAATGCTGTTCAAGCACAGTGCAAGACATGCCATACAAGTAATTCCAGTGAGCGCAGCGAACCCAGGCACATATGAAAGATAACGTTGCCTTCTTGAGACATTGGTTCATTTCGGGGTTTCTCAAAATCGTAGTCCCCTAAGAAAGTTGGATCCTTTGGGTTTCCTTTACCTACCTGCCAAAAGGAAGTCCACCATTTTGACACACACCCATTGACACACCCATTGTGGCTTGCTGTTTACATGAAAAGCGAGGTCCTCATTCAGAGCCTCCATGTTGACACCAGAACATTGAACACTGGCGCTGGCCCAAACTGATGTCCGCGTTTGCTGAAACGTGTGCCGCGTTGCAACACTGGATTTGAACTTGGATGGAATGAAGGATGCTAGAGGAATGCCGACGTTGAATCAGGCAAGTGTCATTCCAAGGCATAGAATGGAGGCCATGAATGGCACATGTTGTGGTTGACCTTCTGGCGGAAGGTTATGTGGGCCCCTCATGGTTTTGGGAAACACTCGGACGAAAACACCAACCGACAAGCCAACCGTTCCTAGGATAATGACATGGTGCGACGAAGACGGCAATATGCAGAATCTTGGCGGCATGCATAAGTCATCCCTTCCCTCGCACGTCCTCTTCAGAGGGTCGCAAGCTTCGGTCTAATTTTCAGAGCCGAAAAGAGGAAGATGCTAGACAATTTGTTCAGCTGCCTTTTGTTTTCCTTTAAAACCAAATGTCTGGAGCAACCCTGAGTCGGAATTTGGTTGGACCTGGTTGAGGGCGGCGCAGCACGTTGCCGGTACTGGGAGCCCACGTTGCCGGAACACCCTATTGTTGTCCTTGTAAACCTTGTTGGGCAATTTGTTTCATGGCCCCCCAAAACAAGAGACAAACAGCAAACACAGTGCGCCTAAGGCGCTTGGCACAGGAGCTCCTCCTAGCGGCCGTTCAAAAAAACATAGCTCCCCCCAAGGGGATTCCTCAATGCCAACCTTTCCCAAGGGACGAGAACCAAGGTTTCCAAAACCAGCTCCGAGGGCGAGCTTATGTTTGCGTGCCCGAAAGTCGAAGGCTGCGTGCATGCTCTATATGATTCACCCCTTCTTGGCCTTATGGGAAGCCAGCCACCAAAGCTACGATTCGATCATGTAACCCCTTTGGCTTCTAGTTGACCATCGAGTTAGGCTTTCCATAAAGCCGGCCAAAGCAGCACGAAAACGATCATGGGGTCTTGCACATGGGTCCACACGAGTGGCATGTCGGGCCCTGTTTGGTTCCAATAAACGAACCATTTGGACCGGTCTTTGGGGGGGGGGGGGTCGTAGATGCAGCATGCTGGGCAAATGAACTCGCAACCTCTGAAAGGGGGAAAAAAAGCCCGAAGGTCCTAAGGTTTTGCATTCGGTTCTTCAGGTTCTTCAAGTCTTATGTCTGGGTTATGAATTGTCAAGGGTGGCCTATTTCGCCCGGGAAATTAGATCCATTTCGCCGGGTGTGCAAGCCACGACTCTTCTCGCTTTCTGCGGATTGTCCGGAAAAAAATGAGTTGGAACCCCAAATGGGTCCAATCCTTCACAATTCACGGAGATTCCTGCACTGGTGTTTTGGCGGGAGTTCGTTTCTTCATTTTGGAGCGAGCTCAGTGATTTGCAGTTTGCGAGCGATAGAAGTTTGGCCAGAAATCGTTTGTGTGAGGGATGTTCCGGCAACAGACACTACTAGCACTCGGTGTTTGTTTTTGTTTGACGTGTCCTACTGCTTTGTAGGTTAATATCGGTTTTGGGGAGTCCCCTACCAGCACCCCCCCATGGCTGGCCAATTGCCGGCACATCGATTTTGGGCGAAACAATGTCACTTTATGTCTAAGTGACTGCAAAAGCAATTTGCTATCAAGTATCACTCATCTGTACTTAGTGCAATTTGTGCGATGATACAAGTGACCTTCCAGGGTCCTGTGGAATGGGGTTGCAGGGGCAAGGGGAGAGCGGCCAATTTGAGTTTGGAGGGCAAGTTTGAGGTTGGGAGGGGTTCTCGAGGCGCTTGTCACGGCGTGTCACGGCGTGTCGGGGGGTGGCCAATTGCCGTCACATGTACGTTGAACGGTCACTTTTTTGGGATATAAGCGTGTCACCAGCGTGTCGCCCCCCCCTCCCGCCCCCGCGCGTTGCATGTGCAATGATCATGCATGCCAGCCCAACCCCTGAACCGGATCCCCTTTGGCATCCTGAAGTGACGTTTCAACAAAAGTGACTTTGCACTGCACTTTGATGATGGCAAAAAAACTATGTGACCACAAAACCATTTTTAAGCAAGTGCGGGTCAATTGCCGGCACTTCACCCAGGACGCCAATTACCGGCCATCGGGGGGGCCTGGTATGGGGCGTTTTGTTTATCCTTTTTTATTCTTTTTTTTTTTTTTTTTTTCTGTCGGGTTATGCGCATGTTCAACCAAAAAGGGTAGATGCTAAAGGGTTGGGTTTGCAGGTTGATATCGGTTTTGGGCAGTCCCCTATCGTTTTTTTTTTTTTTAGGGTATATACATGTTCAAGCAACAGGGTAGATGCTAAAGGTTGGGTTTGCAGGTGGATCTCGGTTTTGGGCATTCAAGCAAAATTTCAACAGTCTAAAGGTTTGATTGAGCCGCCCAACGTGCGAAGCTTTTGGGGCCAAAACACGAACCCAGAATTTCTTGTCATAGCTGTCGTTTTGGGTTGTGTAGAAAAAAGGAGATGGCGATTCCTGGTGTAGCTGGTGGTTTAGTCCTCCACCATCTATTGTACCTGGTGGTTTAATCACCAGGGAAACCCATCTATTTCCAACCTAAAAGGACGGACCCGTGTTGCTTGCCTCGCGTTTCGAGGATCGAGTTCAAGGAGCCCAGGCCTCAGTAGCTTCGGATGGGCTCGAGGCCAACAGCCTCGCTGGTCATGGGACGTGTCCCTGGCCTCGTACCTGGCCTAGGCTCACTCAGGAAACTAATGGGCGGTGCCCTGGAAAGGTTGTAGCATTGTTCACTTGGGATTGATCCGCAAAGCAGACTGATCATAGGAATCCCCTTCGAATTAGATCATTTCCAAGCACTGGAAGGAGATTTCCGGTGGGGGAAGTGTTGTTCAAACATGCCATCTTTTAATGCCTGCTCGAAAAATGCCGTTGGAACCTGGCTTTCACAAATTGAGGCGTGCTTTGGCCGTGGTTTCTTGCCGTAGATGAGTATTTTTTTTGGCAACGACTCACGTGTTTTCAAACTGAATGCAAGCCACGTTTTGCTCACAGCTGACCCCCAGCAAACTGTTTCTGGTGAAACCTGCGGCCTTAGGGCTTTGCATGGGCTCGGATTTCGAGTTTTGGGAGTTCGCTGTTTGGTCTGTGTCAATTTCCAGTCAAACCGGTGTGAGTCAAATCATGCAACCTGAGGCCTTTGGCTTGGATGTAAGGAGCCAGTCAGGTCCCTTTGAAACCGGGGTGCCTCTATTTACTCTATTTTCCTTGTGGGTTTTGAACACGGCCCAATGAAAATGTCAACCCTGTGACAAATTCTCCCTCTAAGCCCCGAGTATCATAGCGCTGTAAGAGTCTCGTAGGTGGGGAGCACCGAGTACCTACTGTGGATACCAAAGAAATTGTCCCCTCGAGGGGAAAACCATTTGCATGGCCTGGACTTGCAATGCTCACTTGCCCAAACTCGAAGTTCCAGAGTTGGATTTGCCCAGTGATTTACCCATTGACAACAAAAGGCATTTACGGTGATCACCGTTCACGTCGAAGTTCTTTGGACAAATATGATATTGCCACAATTCAAACCTGGGGTATTTGGAGGTTCGGGAACACTCGTGTACCAGGTGTTGATTGTATAATATAAAAAAATAAAAATAAACGCGATATTTTGGTAGGACCCGTTTTTTTCCACCCACCCCCCTCCCCAGATTGTGGGATATGTTTTGGGGGTAGGACCGGTAAATGGGACTCACCAGTCTGGAGCCGTTCTTTCGGCGTAAGAGGCGCGTGAATTCTAAGTCGCGGGTTCCGTGCCCTGAGCAAACAAGCAAGCAAGCTCAGCAACAATAGGCAGGCAGGCAGGCAGGCAGGCAGGCAGGCAGGCAGGCAGGCAGGCAGACCGGCAGGCAGGCAGGCAGGCAGGCAGGCAAGCAAGCAAGCAAGCAAGCAAGCAAGCAAGCAAGCATCCTGATGCGTACTTTGCGTGCATCTTGTCATGTTCGCTTCTTTTCATGGCTGTGTCATGTGATTTCATCCCCAAAAGTGCCCTAAGTCTCTAAGTACATACTCCTTTTGAGTCACTGGCTAAGAATTTCCTTTTCGATTACAATCGCTTAGCCGAGCCCGCGCTGAGGTTTGAAGATATGATGCGACGAGACCCAGCCTGACCAGTGCGCAGGTTTTTGTCCGCAGGTTACATCTGCGCATGCGCAAGGCTCGCGGGCCACCGGGCGTTGACGGGCCTTCGAAGGAAGGTCAAGGGCAATCCAGAAGGAATTGGGTGGCAGAACTAGTTGATCCAGTAGTCATAGGTGTCCTTTTTGGGTCGATTTGGTTGAAAAGGGCGTTTGGTTGTATTCCATGTAGCGGTGCCATCTATTTGTCGCCGCCATTTATTGGTCCAAAAGGGCACCTATGTTTGTAGTGTCTTCCCACTTGGGATCAAGGAGGATCGGTGTTTGGAGGAGGTCACGAGGCACCCATGAAAGCGCTTGCCGGGATGCGCTTCTCACGCATGATCCTTTTCACACATCTCCGCGGGGAATGTGTTGATATATGACTTTTTGGCGTGAGACGGTGTGAGAGAGACGGTGTCCATATCCCCAGTTTTTCCGATAAGAAAGCACTTTGTGTCTGAGTCAGGCGCCTTGCGATTGCTTTTAAAGAAGGTGGTGAAACTTTTTTAGGCAACTTGGAAAACTGCATTAAAGTGGGGAACAAACAATGTATCAGCTTGTGTGTATATACAGCAATTGTGTGAAATAGCACCATCTTCCAGGGGAATCAGCGGCCCCGTCCAGTTCACAAGAGGGTCGCATGATCCAAACCCCCAATGGCTTGAGGCATCCATCGGAACAGGATAGGTCTGGAGTGTGTTGGTTTTTGAGGGGCCTTTGCCGGGTGGTTTTGAAGGAGCACGTAAAGGGAACACGCAGCTCTTTTGGTGTTTTTTTTTTGGGGGGGGGGTCCCCTATTTGATACAGGTCTTGGTGACTCAAGCAAGGGCCCGAACAAGACCCTCTAATCGGGCTCGAAGCACCCAATCGGGATGATGGAAACCCACCAAAAGGTCCTCAGACTCGATGTACGTTCTTGTTGGGCTGCTTTCGTGGCGCTAGTAGGGCCTGTTGCGATTGGGGTGACGGGCCCTTTTGGCAACAGGAAGGCTTATGACTACGGAGCCAGGTAGAATCTTCATCGGCCCCCTCGCCAGTCCCCAGAGTGTAGCACTGCTATTGCAAACATGGCACCGAGTGCTCCAGCTCGTTCACGCTTAGGAATTTCGTCCCAGATCACAGCTCTTGAAATCTCAGGACTTATCCCCAAGCCATTTTGGGCTTCGAATCAAAAGCCAAGTGAAGCACGTCCGAGTTCTGTGCCGCAGGCATCGCCAGGTTGTCCGTCCTTTTCGCGACGCCCTGAAAATGTTCTGACTATCTAAAGTGCTAGAGGGGACCCGTCGAATGGAGAATGGGTCCCAATTCGGGACCCGAAAGCGGCAAGCCCTTTCCCTTTGACCGATTGGAACAACTTGGTTTCCCTTGGTTGTGGTCGGGTCCCTTCAAGGGGTTCAAACCGGGCCCCCATGTCCCGGCTTTTCTGCAGGAGGATGCGGGCGGGTTGCTTCTCGCGTGTTTCCCCCGAACGCTTGTTTGTTAGTTCCTGGTATTTGCGGCATGTTTGCACCTGATGTTTGTGAAAAGACATGTTTTGGCACCTCCTGTGACATACGAGACCAAATGGGAACTGCCGTTGGCAGTCGATGACATTCACATAAATCTGGAGCAGGGTTGTGGAATCAAGGGGTATATTCCCACTGCTGTGATACCAGGGAATCTACCCCTTTATATGGGGTGTTAGTCGTTGGGAAGCCCTTTTTGTTGTATCACAGAAGTGGATTCCATTTCCCACAACCCGGATCTGGAGCAACCCGCGGAGACTTCCGAGACCCTCCATGCAAGGCACCGAGCTGCTTAGCTGCTTAGCCGCTTAGCGAATTCGTCATCATTGATACGTATCCGCTGGAACCATGTGGCCATGGGTCAAAATCCAAATCGTACCCCCCAGTGAACATCCCAATCCCCATTAAAATAGGTCTTATAGATGATACAATTGGTTTTGCAGATGGAGCCCCCGCCCCCCCCCCCCCCGTTTTCCTCTTTCTTGGTTTGTTTCACGTTGTAATTAGCTGACAGCGACCAGCCCGAGGGACCATTTCTGGCCGCTATGTAGCAGAAGATGTTGTTTTGCGAGGCGAGTGATGAGGAGCATGGAGTACCCAAATGCGCGCTCTACAAAGGTTCAGTGTGGTATTTGCTTTTTTGGTTCCGTGTCATGGTTAGTGCTAAGCCAGAAAGGAACATGTTTGTTTGCTGGCACAACAGGCTTTGGAAGATTCAGAATGATCATCGAACAATAGACATGCCAACCATGAACTAAAGTGTGCATTGACAGCAGAAAGCTCAAGAACGGCGTGTATGTCACATTGCTTGGCTTGAGCAGCTAGGGTTCAAGTACAATGCATGCAGTTGTTTTGAGGCATTGGCTGGTCAGGTGTTTTTTGTTGTTGCGTGGCGTGCTCATCGCAGCTAATGCAGCCATGGCCGGGCCGGGCCGGGCCGCACGTCTCAAATGCCGCCATGAATGCTTTTTCTTTTCGGATCCTCGGACGTGGAAGGTTGATTGTTTTTACGCCGCCTAAAAGGCGTGCCCACTTCCGTTCCTGCTCCCTGAAAATGTCAAGTCCGCGACCACGCAGCGAGACATAGCCGCGCCCGACATAAGGCTGCAAGGGACATGCCGCTGCGCTGGCGAGGGATTTGTGGGTTTGACTGACAAATCGAGCAATCAGCAGCCAGCACTGACTTCCTCCAGCCTCATAGATTGGCCAAAATCAGCACCTAGAGGAGGTTCACGGAAAAACTGTAACAAACCCAAAGAAACACTGAGTCGCGTCCCCTTGGCCAAACGTTGCCCAGTGGCGCAGCTTGTTTCTTCAGGCAGGTCTTGTTGAAGCACCAACCTTTGCCATCTGTTCAAGAAAACCAACAGAAGATTGTTTAAACAAAAGTGGCTGACAGATGATCAGATGTTCAAACGAGTCGCCATTTGTAAACAAAAGTGGCTGAGACATGTTTAAACAAGCTTGGCCCAACCCAGAGAAAGAACTACGGGTGTCAGATCTCTTTTCCCGGGGCCACTGGACATCGTCGGCTCGCTCCGAGTGAAGTCTTGGCCCAAGGTGAACCGTGAACAGGGTTGCTCCATCCGAAGCGATCAAAACCTAGATCCCCCAGTAGTGCCCTTTTACCCGTGGGGAAGCTAACTGGAGGACCCAGAAACACAAGGGTAGAGAATTGGTTTGTTTGTTTTTTTGTTTTCATTTTGCCGACCGAATTTCTGCTTGACCTGGAGCAACCATGTTTGATTGCAGCGTCTTGCGTTCCAAGGCCGCCCCTCTTGTCAGAGACAATGTGGGGGCAGACCATGTATGGCGCATGCGTCGGAAAAGGACGGCGCTAGCTGCAGACCCCTTCAGGGCCAAACCACCAAAGCCGAAAATGGTGTAACCCAGACACCCAGTGGGTGCTTGATTTGTTCTTTTTTTAACCACCCCTTTGACATTCCCGGATTCCCACAACCCCCCTGGCTTGAAACTTGTTCCCACGAAAAAGCGAGTGGCGGAACTTTGACCCACTGATTCGGCGATTAGGGATGTATTGCGGGTCAATATTTCACAGAGGGGTATTTATTTTAGGATGTTATTTTTTTCTCTCGCTTTTGGCTTCTTGGCTTCTTGGCTTCTTGGCGTTTCGACTTCTTGGCTTCTCGGCTTTTGGCTTCTCGGCTTCTGGGCTTTTCGGCTTTTTGTTGGTGTATGCGGCTTTTTGGCTTTGGCTTTTTGCATCGTCTGCATTCCCAGTTCCTCTTCGGCAGGTGGCGTTTTGCGCTGGCTTTTGGCGGCTTTGGCTGTTCGCATCCTCTGCTTTCCCAGTTCCTCTCTGGGCTTTTTGGCTTTTTCACCCTTCCATTGGTTTTTGGATTTGGCTTCCCGCATCATCAGCATCACCAGTTCCTCCCCATTTGAATCATCACTTCTTCGAACATCATGGGGGGGCTGCCCGCCCCCCCCCCCCCCCCCGGCTATTTTTTAGATTTCTTGCAGAGATTGAATTGCAGCCCTATTTGAATCATCACTTTTTCGAGCATCCAATTTCGCGAGAAAATACTGCAAAATACGACATTTGTGGTAATCTGTGTAATCCATGTATGTCTGTATGCATGCACTTCTTCGAACATCATAGGGGAAGCCACCCCCGCCAACCCTCCGCTGCCTTTTAAATTCTATCGCACCCTTTCTTGAATCATTGCACCCCTACTTGAATCATCACTTCTTCCGACATCATGGGGGGGCTGCCGCCCCCCCCAACTCCCCCCCACCCCCCCCCCCCCCCTGCTACGTTTTAGATTTTCTACAGAGATTTAGTTGCGCCGCCCCCCCCAACCCCCCTGCTACTTATTGTTATTATTAAAGGGATTGAAATGCGCTCCTATTTGCATCATTATTTTTGTTGACCCCGTCAACTCGCCAGCTACTTTTTGGATTCTGTTACCCACGATTTGTTAGTGATGCTAGGGATGTTGGTCGGACATGCGGGAGATGTTGAAAACGATGATGGGGATGTTGACGGGCTAGTGTAAAATGCGTCAATTTCGCAAGAAAATGCTGTAAAATACGACATTTCACTTGCCCGCACGAAAAAAACAAATCTCGAAAAACAAATCCCAAAATAAATCCGCGCCCATATTTCACGACCCAAATGTGAGGGTTCTTTGGGGGTCCTTCCCGTTGGCCGCCTGCTTCAGCTCATTCAGAGCGTTCTGGTACGGCTGTATGTGGCAAGGATATTGAGCCAAAAGCCATTGAATGACATGCAGCTACCTGAATTCAGCTGGTTTGTGACTGCACCTTGTAACAGCTGTACGTAAGCTGTCGAATACCCTTGTCACGGAACTGTTTTTAGACTTGTCACATGTGTCATATAGCGCGACGTGCGTTTGGGTTGTTTGTGATAGCATAACCTTACAGCACGTGTGCAAGAACACGTCCTCATGCGTCAGGTGCAATTTGGACCTCTTACAAGAGCCTTGCCAGGGTGCGAGTCTGTGCATATCGTGGGTGCCTGTATAATATGTACATGTGCTGGACAATCTTTGAGGAGCAATGCACCCTGGCTTGCATGGACAGGGTCAAAGAGCAGAGCACCCCAGCACCCATTTAAATGTACTCATAACATCCTTCATTCAGCGTCTCTACAAACATGGTCGATTTTATTTCAAGAGCAACATCGATATTTTCAGGGTGTGAATTGGGGCGAGCGGGCTGTGCAAGCCCCGACTGTTTATGCCAGTTGTGGGCATCAGCTTCTCAAAGAAGGCCTGCGATTATATGCTTCCAGGCCTGTTGGAAACAAGTCAGTGGTACTGTGGATGGTTGCGAAATCCTCTTAGGCACCCGTTCAGAAACCCCTCTGCAAATACCAACAAGCAATGGTTTCCCGTGGAGTGGTGCAGGATTTGCTTTCCCTGAGGAATCAGCATGGCGCTACGCAATTGTTTGCTTGGTAAACCATTGCAGGCAAGCTTGGACCACTTAAACATGTTCAATACTAGGTCAAATAATCTCGTCATTCCTTTGGTCTCCTCCAAAACTTTCACAAATGTTATAGGGTAGACTAGGAATGAAACAGCATCAGAAGATATGTATTTTTCCGCCTACCCCCTTTTCTTTGGGTCAAAAGTCCCTATAAAAGGCAGCTACGATTTTGTGTCGGAAACGGTTGCTTTCCAGGTTCCGATCCCTGGCGGCTACCGGATCCCCAGAAAAGAATTCGGCATTATGTGCCTTCAGTATTTGGTTATCCATTTGAAGGATGCCAAAGACAGGTACCCTCCGAAAAGACCCATATGGCCTGTCAAGAGTGGGTATCGAGTCCCGCTTTGCCGCAGGCCGGAGTCTGAGTCAAGCCACGCTCGCGTGGAAGTTTCGATGTGGCTCCTCAGAATCTCCTCATGACGGAACAACTCCGCCTGTATGCCTCCTACCCACGGAGTTCCCCTCCTACCCAGGGAGGCGTTTAATTCGCAGGCTGGCGAGGAACATTTTAAAGAGTGGGTGATATCCACGCTTAGAAGCGCTCACCCCTGTCATACCTCTTCTATCTCTTACTAGAATTTTGTTACCCATGTTGGGTTGAACATTCATGCAGGTGGTCTTGAATTCTTCCCAGCCCGTCCCTTTCAATGCTGCATTCCGGAGTGCAGAGTGCCCAGCCGCAGCGCCGAAAATGACGCTATGGCGCAGTGTCGATATCAGTTGCAATCCTTGAAGTCTTTGTTTCATGCCGGTCTTCTTTTAATAGCCAGGGGCTCAACCATACAGTGCGAATGTTGTACCCTGCATGTAGCCGC